GGCATATAGAAACAACTCTCAAGCAAACTTAAGAGGATGCAAACATGGACAAATAGCATGCATTATAAGCTCTGAAAGTCATGTTAGAGAAGGTGCCAAACCAATCTACAATGCAAGCTAGGCATGCCACCAAGCCTAAGGACTTAAACCACGGCCATATGACATATGAAGCAAATGACCAAAATGAGCTAAAACAGTCCTAAATCATGCAAAAGTAAGCCCTAAAAACCACTTAGATAGCATCTAAATGATCTAATCCTAGAAGCATACACAATGGCACAAACATGGAGCAAGAAACACCAACCTTTTAAAGCATGAAAGGGGCATCAAATGCAAGCATACGAGCATATCATGAGGACTGAAATGATATGACAAGTGGTTCCAAACCACTGAAATGATAAAAGGATGGCATGCTAGAGGAGTCAATGCTTAAAGCATATAAGAGAGGTTACATGGTAGCTATACAAAGCAAAGCTTGAACAACCCAAATGACCAAAAACAGACCTTTAGCATGCTAAAATAAGCATAAAAGTTTCACAAAGCTAAGCCAAAAGCATGCTAGAAACAAGGCTCAAAGCACAAGGCATGTTAAGGCAATTCATGGCATTACAAGACATGTATGCTAAGCAAGCATGGTGTATCTAAACCAATTCACAACAATGCTATATCATGGCAAGATAAGCATAAAAAACAGTTAAGGCATGGCCAACATACACTTAAACAAGGTGCTCACTAATGAGGCTTAAATGGCCATTATTGAAGACAACAAGGAGAGGGGGTGGCCTTCTCCTTCTTAGGACCTTAAACCACCATCCTCAGGCCCAAACAAGGTGATCCCGGAGCTCACCAAAATAGCACAAAATGAGGGCCAAACAAAGCCTAAGAGGGGTCAAACAACCCCAAAGCTCAAAACACTCTTAAACAACTATTTAGAGCAGGCAAAAAAAAAAGACTTTTATATGTTATACACAAAGTCAAAAAACAGTTGCAAGATTGGTTAAAAAGCTATGCAAAAATGGAGAAAAATGAGTAAGTTCTTACCCTTGTTGACCCCCTTCAAGAATGATGCTCCAGCAGCTTCTTCAAGCTCAAAACCACCCAAAAACACCAAGAACAGCCTTCTGGTCCCTCAGCAACCAAGAGAAGGTGTAGGACTAGGTGTTTGTGTGCAATAGTAAGACTAAACACACACACAAGGCAAAAAGAGAGAGAGAGATATACAGATGGAATAGATACAAACTCAAACCCTAATCTTAGAGCTCTTCTGAAAATTTTGTAAGCCTAATGGAGAGAGAAAAGCCTCCTTCTTATAGACAATCCTTCTTGTAAAGCTTTCCAAACAAGCTAGTTAAGAGGGAGATCCCTCCATACACGTGTATGAAGGGGAGCAGAGTGTATGTCAGCTAGCACAGCTGGCACAAAAAATATCTGCAAAAGCAGATGAACAGTGGTCGGCCAGCCAAAAATGCAATTTGACCAAAATAGATGGCCGGTCGACCATCCAGAGTGATGGCTTGGAATGACAGCTGCCAGCTGTCTGTAGAAATATCTGTTGAAAACCACATTTGGCCGACCGACCATCAAAGTGGTCGACCGGCAGTGAAATTGGCCGGCCGACCATCACATTTGGCCGATTGAAAATCAAGGTGGCCGGTGGCAGGAGACTTGGTCGACAGGCTCCCCCTGTCCTTAGGAACACATCCACAAGCTCTTGGTGCAAACCCAAACACAAAGCAGTCAAGTCGAGAGATCCTGAGGCAAGGCGCGTAGCCGAGACCTCCGGGAACTCAAGACGAACACAAAACAAGGATGATCACCGAGTGTTCAAACGGTGACGTCCAAGTCTTGAGGACGGTCAAAAATGGGGTGTCTACACAAGCTGATTGTTATTCGCTTCACCATACGTCAAATTTGTGTCAAATTTGACATGGAGTAGGCCACGCCAAATGCCACAAAGGTATTTCGGCTCTTATGTTTTTTTTTTTTTTTTTTAACTGGAAAATCCTTCCTATCCTTCCGCAGGTCTAAGGCAGCGCCCATTGCAGAGATCACCAGGGTGACCTGTTAGCCGTTCCGAGCGAGAAGACTATAACTTGGGAACTTGCCTCGACCTCCCAAGACAAGCTCCGCTTAAGTCAGGACTCACATAGCGGGGGAGTATTACCTGTTAGCCGTTCCGAGCGAGGAGACTATAATCTGGGAACTTGTCTCAACCTCTCAAGACAAGCTCTGCTTAAATCAGGACTCACATAGCGGGGGAGTATTGAATCTATGGTGACCTGTTAGCTGTTCCGAGCGAGGAGACTATAACCTGGGAACTTGCCCCGACCTCCCAAGACAAGCTCCGCTTAAGTCAGGACTCACACAGTGGGGGAGTATTGAACTTATACCAAGTGCTGATTAGACAACTTGAGGTTCAACCTCCTAACCAACTGTGTTTCGCCCAAGAGATTGGCCGAGGGGAAGGGAATTGAACTTGTGACCTTGGGACTTAAACCCCAAGCCTTAACCACAATGGCACCCACCCCTGGGTTGTTACCTTTTATAGTCCAAGTAAAATTTAAAGTATTGCTTCTCATTTTTCTGAATTGGGGTGGGGTGCTATCACAACACTTATGCTGTCACACAATGTGAGGATTATTTTAACTATATTTTAATAATTCAAACAATTTATATTATAAAATTTGTTGAGTATATTATTTATATAAAAAATAAAATTAATCAGACAAATATACCCTCATGATCAAGATGAATAGTAAGTCTAAAAAATTATTTAAATTATATTAACTATTTATTTTCTTAAATATAAACGTGATTTTCTTGTAAGTTATAAGTGTCTAATTAACTTAAATATTTTTTTTATGGATGATCTACCCCACGAACCTTACACTATAAATAATTCGAATCATTAAAATAAATTTAAAACATACTTTCACAGGCTGTGCTATGCCCAGTTTTCTAAGTAGATTCACTCGCATGCTCGAATGCAACCATGAATATATTGATTTTTCTGGGCAAAGCTCACCTACTATTATGTATATAAATAAATGGATGCCATGAATGAACTCAAAAAAAATGGTAGTATAGACAGTAGATTCCCCCAAAACCATTCGCTGTGCGTCCACAGACATTAACCATTGTAGACACTTGAGAGGGAAATCAAACTTCTAAAGTACAAAGTACCATCCACATGGAATTTCTTTTTGCTACATTGGTAGAGGAAAATTGGGCAGTAACGATACTAATAAATACTACTGGGTTCTCTCGAATTTAGAATAAGGGGTTTTTTTTGGTGTTTTTGTATGGTGACATATTGCCCTAATTTTTGTATATGTAGTTGAGGGCTGACCTTTCATGATCATAATGGAAAAACAATGAACGTGGACATAGTCTTTCAGTTTGGAGTAAACCAAATAAATTGTATGTTCTTGTGTGTATGTGTGTTTGATTTTATAATTATTAAATATTTGTTCTTCTTTATTTTTCGAGTCTTACTAATCTTGATTATGTGTTACAATTTCATAATAGTTGCAATACACAAGAATAAAACTCATGCTACAAGAGTTACAAGCCTCAAATACTATATCTATATCATAGTTCTAAATATCGGCCAGCACGTACCGGCCGATTCGTACTGAAAAATCATAGCACCGATTCGGATATCGACCGGTATACCGGTGAGAATGAAATTCGCAGCCGTAGCGTCCGAGTCCTGGTACGTAGCGGCCTGAAACCGATACATTGGGCGATACGGTCCGATACAGCTTGGTTGTCATCGGTACAGATGAAATAAAGCACAGAGAGCTGCTCGTGGCTCCGATGCTGTTTCTGGTTTTGGATTGCTGGTCTTCGCTAAAGTGGGAGTGCAACTATAAGGTTCACGACGAGGTCGTGATGTTCTTCGGCGGCTTCCGACGTGTTTCAGAATGCTTTCTGGGTCATGCGCTGTTGAAGCTTTGAGGCTACAGTAGCAACCTACCTAGGTACTGAGTATATCTTTTATATTCATATTTTATATAAATGTATATTGATAGTTTTGGGCCAAAATATTTTACTCAAGATAGTTGGTGGGTTGTTTTGGGCAATCTTGGCTCATATGTTTCTTTAACCAACTCGTGGGTCTAGTTGGTATATTGTTGTGAATTTATTTTAAATTGTAGATAATTGAAAGTTATAATTGAGACTAAAATAAATATATACCATTTAGTTAAAAAATGAGTTAAAAGTGCCCTTATATATCAAAATTTTGATTAAAATATCACAAATTAAGGTTAAAACAGTCAAAAAAATGTATAAAATTGAGTTTCAGAAGGATTGTCACTGATTTTTAAAATTTTATGGCCGCGACACACGATTTCCAATACGTACCGGCCGATACTACCAATACCGATACTCCGCGATCGATACCGTTACGTCACCCGATACTGCGATTTAGAATTATGATCTATATTGAGCATTTCTTGTGGCTTAGATTACAAAATTAAAACTTGTCCCCGCACCCTCCTGCTCCGTTGTCATCCCTATTCACTTATCAACCAAAACTCATTGCAAGAAGCATTAGAAAGTCGACACCCCCATAACCACCTGATAAGGCTGTTAGATACTGATTTCATAACAATTTAAGCTTTTGAAACAGTTAATGACTTTTTAACACAAGTCTCCAAAAAACATTCAAAATCAGAGTCACTATATATAAATTGAGTGATTCAAGCCTGTAAATAACAGCAATTGATTATGCTTTAAATTTTTAAATTGTATTTGGATCATAAATTTAGATAAAGATTTAAAAAGAGAATGAAAATTTCCTTTCCATTTATATTTCTATTTTTAAATCTCTATCTAAATTTAAAATCCAAACATAATTTTAAAAAGACATTCCATGTTCATCTTTATTCTTCTTGCTTTACGTGGGGACATCCTATCAAGAATTTCCGTGCTTCAATAGTGCAGAAAAAGTATCAATCATTGAACACAAACATACTTATAATAACACCAAGAAATCTTCACAATCATTTAAACATTATAATACAAAACAGAATCAATCACCTTCAATCAATATAAATAAAATAAATCAATATTAAAAACATAATTTCATTTGATACCCAAAACAAGAATCTAATCAACACACCAACCACCCTATACTTCTTTATCTTTTCTTTCTTTCTTTTCTTTTAGGTTCTTGGTTTATACATATTTTCTATATTACATCATTCTCAATAATATAAAAATTCTTATACCTTAATCTCAACTTTTTTTATGGTATGATGATGATTGGCATCAAGGAGGTTCTCTAATGATCTGTTTTTTCGACTACGGACCCGACCTGCTTCTTTCAATAACTCGGCCAACCTCTTCTTTTCATTGTCCACATCGGGATTCGCTGTCCCAAGCTTTTCCTCTCTCATTCCCACAACATGTTCTAACATTGCAATTGCTTCATCCAATCTATACAAGAAACCAAAAGAAAAATTGCATTTAACAAAAAAAAAAAAAAGAAGCAGAAACTAAATTATTTCATCGAAATTCTTTGGTTGCATTTAGTAACTTTGTCAGTTTTCATTGTTTTTGACAACAGAAAACATGAAACATAGGAAACGTGTTTGGAACACACATGTTTTGAATACAAAAAATATATGTATTTGGTAACCCAAAAAATTAATTTCTGTATTTGTTTTTCAATGCTTCCTTGCAATAACACCCAACCCAACTATAATGGCATTGCAAACAACTCCCAAGCAACCTTCAACCCATCTTCTGATAGTGCAGAACCACTAATCATAGAATTCCAAGAAATCCTTGTTTGATTCAGTCTTTAGACATCTATTTTTTGAAAACATAAATACTAGTTTGGTAAAAAATATTTAAAAAAAAAATAAAAAATCACTCATTATTTTCATATAGGTTTCTCTTTTTTGGGGCGGAACTAGTTTTTAAATTTAAGGGGACAAAAAAATAGAAGACAAGTTTTGAAAACTCAACCAAACATACAATCAACTCACATGGTGCTGTACAGTGGGGGGCCAGAGGGGTACAGGATAGGAGTATGCAAAGTTCACTTATGTTTTTGCTTGTTTTCAAAACTAGTGGAATCGATATTTTTAATTTTTTTTTTTTTTTCAAATTTCGGAAACAAAAACAACAAACCAAAACATGTTTCTTCTTTGTTTTCAAATACAAATACAAACAAAAAAAAAATCATCTGACTGTTCAGCATAGAAAAGATATGTGAGGATTGTATAAAAACCACAAGAATGAAAAGGGGAACATATAGTGAAAATGTTAACCAAAAGTAAAATTTGAAAAATCATGACAATAAAGAAACAAGAATGTAAAGGGTGCATATTTATACCTTCCAATCGCGTCATAAGCGCCAGCAAGATTGCTATACACCCCAAGCGTGTCGGCATGATAGGGTCCATACTCTTGTTCCAAAACACTCCTCGCCTCTTCAAACAACTCCACAGCCTCATTTATATCACAACGCTGCACACACGTCAGCCCCATTTGGTTTAGCACAATCCCAAAGAATGCAGATTTCTTCTCCCCACTTGCGCTGAGCTTTGAAATAGCGTTTTTGAAGGAGGTGTAAGACTCAGAGTAGTTTCCTAACATATAGTACATGACTCCCATTTGGGCTTCGATTCCTGCAGTCGTGCTCTGCTGCCCCGGGGCATCATTGTATATGTTTAATGACTTTTGTAACAGATTGAGCGCTTGTTCGAGTTCATTCATTGATTCATAAATTGCAGACACATCGGTGAGACCACTGGCAATCTCTTCAGGAGGAATCCCAACAACAGGCGTTAGATAAATTCGAAGGGCGTTCTCACAGTAGGATTTTGATTCCCTAAATTTACCCGTCTTGTTATACAAATCAGCCAAACGGACAAAAACAGAAGCAACCAATGGGTGATTTTCTCCTTTGGAGGACTTGAAAACCGTGAGCGCTTTCTGATATGCAAAAACTGCCTCATCGTATCGAGCCAACGACAAGTACATGTCACCAATGCTGCAATCCACCAATGCCACTTCAGTTTCAAGCCCATTCGCCGCCATGGCCATGCTAGCCAAAACAAGGTGCTCGAGGGCAGCCTCGTGATTGCCTTTTGCTTCGCATATAAGGCCCATGAGCCTCCTATCCGCGGCCTCTTCGAGCGAAGCAGGCGAGCCATTCTCTTTGTGGATGTCCAGACCCATTTGACAATACTTCTCTGCCTCATCGAATTGTAATGCTTGAACATGAGCTTCGGCCAAGTACCTATAAGTCTCGCCAACTCTCGGATCTGTATCTCCCAAAACTCGTCGCTGGACTTCCAAACCAGCTGCGTAACAAGCTATAGATTTCTGAAGCTGGCCCAACATCGCATACGTGTCACCCAATTGCATATGACCAGAAAATTTAGCAAGGGCGTGATCTTCACCTTCCTCAATCACTGGAACCTCAATCGACTGCACAAGAATTGGAATTGCATCGCAATACTGGCCTAAATTACAATATATAGCTGCAGTGATGTGTAGGCACATGACCATATCTAAACCGGGCTTTCCATTTGAACATTTCTCAAACGATTTCGCTGCACGAAGAGCTAACTCAAGGGCTTTTTGGGGATTATCCCCAGAGGAAATCAAATCCCTTGCTTGCTTAAGCAGAAATGGTCCAAGATCTGAGTTTTCTAACCCCGACCCAGACGAGTCCTCGGTCCCATTCTTCAATTTCAACCTCCCCAGTGGTGAATTCCTCCGTTTTATTGGTTTTCTTGAATTCTTATCTATAGGAGGCTTCTCTTGCGGACTTTTGCTATTGGGGTTTGATCCTTTTGATGCTTGTGTTTCCAAGTGCACGTGAGAAGCTTTCTTTGATTGTGCCCGGGAAGGCGAATTTGTACTAGAAGATTGGGTATTATCCATTTTCCCCAATTTCTTGGAACCGGAATCACTATGACAGTCATTTCCCGGTTTTTCCACTTCTCCCTCTTCTTCCATTATCTCGACTTCCCTCCTCTCCCCCCCAACAAGATGGCGCAACTCCGAGTCAATCCTCATCTCTGAGCCCTCTGATCCAAAACTAGCCCTCGAGGGCGACTGATCAGAACTCTGCATCTCACATACATTATCGTAAAGCTGCTCGATTGAGGTGTCCACCGCTCCATCGAAAGAGGCCTCAATCACAGCTGCACTTCGAGGACTCCGCGGACTCAATGGACTTTCGGGTGACTTGTTTTGAACTGAATTTTCCTTCAAAGGTGTAGAATTTCCATTTTCATGAACTATCTCGTCTTCATGAATTCCTTCCACAACAACTCCAGGCATTTTACGAAACCCTAATCGAGAAATAACTTAAAAATAATTTATCTGCAACAGATGTTTCAATTACAAAGAAAAATCAGAATTCAATATATATATTTCAGATCCAAACAAGAATGAGATATGTTTGGAATAAATTTCTAATTAAGCAAAACTATTATCCAATTTATTTATTTATTTATTGTTTTTTTTTTTTTAATGTTTTTTGGAATAAATTTCTAATTAAGCAAAACTATTATCCAATTTATTTATTTATTTATTTATTTATTTATTTATTTATTTATTTATTTATTTATTTTTATGTTTTTAGACATTAAGACATGAATTATTATAAGTTTCTGAGTTCTTTATTTATACACACATCATGTAATAACAGAAGTTTCTTATAAATAATCTTTACACATCAATACATGAACAGTCTGTTTGGATTGAGTGGTTTGGTGAGAAAAGAAAAGGAATTGAGAGAAAGAGGACTCTTTTCACTTGTTTGATGATTGAGAAAGTGAGGGAGAAAAAAACTGTAATTCATCAAGAACTCAGATAATCTAAATATGAAATCTACACAAGAAACTCTGAGAATTGAAGGAAAAAGAACTGTAATTCATCAAGAACTCAGATCAGCTAAATATGAAATCAACAAAACAAACCTCAAAGTGAATTTGAGCCCATTAGAAACATAGACATGAAAATCAACATAACAAACCCAAAAACACACACACACACACACAAAAAAAAAAAAAAAACAATTAGAAACACACAGAAAGAATCAAAGAAAAGTCTGAAGGTTGACCTCTTCACCAACTGATCCAATAATAATAACGATAAAAGGATAAAAAGGGTACAAAAGAACATGGATTAAACTAGCAGAAAACAGAAACAGAAAAACAGAAACGTTAAAAAGTTGTACTACCTCAGAAACAACCCATGAAAGAGGACACCAAAGGGTGGTGTTTTTGTGTTCCACCGAGTGTTATATAGATAGATGAAGAGAGAGAGAGAGAACGAGAGAGAGTGAGAAAAGACAAGGGTATATATTTGATGATGGGGCAGAGAGGAGGAGAGAGAACTGGGGATTTTACAAGAAGGGTAGGGGCAAAATGGGAACAAAAATAGTATATAGAGTTGTAATTAACCCCTCGTTAATTATTTTGCACCTTCTATTTCTTTGAATCTCACTTATAAATTTTAAAACCTTTTAAATTTTTTTTCCCTCTAAATAATATTAAAATTATCATTGTAAAAATATTTCTTCCATTCAAATGCACACTCCCACATCTCAAAATACTTCACTCCCTAAACCTAACAAAACCCACAATGGTGAAACCTCCCAAAACCAATGAAATTTTTTTTGTAGTGATTAATAAGTTTTTTCTTTACTTCATTATGAGGTTTGTCAATATGTTTAATTTTTTTTCTTTTTACTTCTTTTCACACATACAACACAATCCACTTTTATACTTCTCTAGTTAGTTTTCTGTGATTCATCCATGGCCTCACCGTCTATGTGAGCAAAATTGGACAGTATTTCACCATTTGGTTGACCCTCCAGGATGGTCAGACCTTCTTTGCTTGTTGGCTTCTATTATTGTTTCGATTATCTGTTTCCGAACAAATAAGAAATGTTCGATTATTTGTTCCTGAACAAATAATCAATATTTGAACATGTGTACCCGAATTTTAATCATATATTCGGGAGTTTAGTCTTGAAAAAATAACAAACAATTTTCACTAGTTTTGTCATTTTTTTTAAGAAACTTACTATTATAAGGTCCATCGCCTTTGAGTTAAGAATACTATCAAAGTTATGAATCTCTTCTTAGTTTTTATTATTGTACTCCTCTTAACTCATAGAGTTGTGACTGCCAGAAAAACTTTCACTCATTGTCACTTCTAGAGAAGTATATGTAATCAAATGGTTCTCACCATTGCTGCTGGAATATTGCTGCCAAAGAATTTTCAAGATTTTAAGAGTAAGCGGGTTTTGAATGTGGGATTTGGAGAAAATTGATGGGTGGTGATGGGGATAGATAGTCTCATAAATCCTAACTCATGATTTAGTGGGTGTGTGAGCTTAATTGTGAGATGAGGTGTTCTAAAATTTTTGATGTCCTTTTTAGCAATTTCATTTGAGATTATTATTGTAATAAAAAAACTAAAAAATTGGGAGTCTAAAATAATTAATGTAGTGCTAATAGCAGAACTCATATATATATTTTTGGATAAATTATAAATACACCCTTGAGGTTTAATTAAAATACGAATCACACTCTGTGATTTTGAAACTTACATTTCATCCCTTGAGATTTATAATTTCATAACAAATCGCACTATTTATTAATAAATCATCAAATCAATTAACAGTTTTTAATGATATTAGAAATATATTTCAATTAATAATTTAGATAATTTTATTATTGTATAGGAGAGTAATTATGAATTTTATTTTTATAATTAATTTTATTAAATAAAAAAAAATTCTAACAATGAAATTTAGATAATTTTATTATTGTATAGGAGAGTAATTATGAATTTTATTTTTATAGTTAATTTTATTAAATAAAAAAAATTCTAACAATGAAATATTTGTAATTTTTCAAATCACATGAAATAATATGTACTTTAAATAAACATCAGGGATGTATTTGTAATTTATCCTATTTTTTTAGAGAGAGAAAATAGTATATTTTTTATAAAGTTTTGTTTTTTTAATTCTTGAAAAAAATAATATAGAAATTTAATTTTTATATTTATTTTTAAATTATGTGTAAATAATATAATTTGTTAATAATTAAAAAAATATGAAAAAAAATATTATCTTTAATATTTTAATTAATTCTAATAACACTCCTTAAACTTGAAAATTGAATCTACTTTTTAATATTGAACAGCAATTTTCTTTTTAAAACTATTTTGCAGAGTTGGAATGTCAGAGTACAGAAGAAGCCGACTTCTCGCCGAACCCGCGCTTGCAACCGCAGATATTTATATTTGTTCGCGGTCCTTCTAGAACTTGCCACGTGGCAGTGTGATAGGAGGTTTCTGTTTTTCTTATGACGGCTTTGCCCTTAACCGTTATGTCCATCGACTGATAACTGCACATATTCTATAGGAAAATGTCTCGTAGCTTAAATTTTATGGCTTAAAAGTAATTTAAATGGCCAAAACGACGTCGTTTTGGCCATTTTTATGTTGTTCTGTACTCAAAACGACGTCGTTTTGGCCATTTGAGCCACTTTTGAGCCACAAAATTTGAGCTACGTAGCATTGTAGTATTCTATATGCACATAGGGGGTGTTTGGGAAGGATTTTTTTGAATTTTTTTGGGTTAAAATTTATATAAAGATAAAATAGGTTAAAATAATTAATAAGATAAAATATCACATCAAATTCATAATCATTTCACTTGTTCTCTCACAAACATTACATCTAACTATAAAAAAATTCAACTATCTTCTCAAACAAAAAATTTTTAGTCTACTAAAATAGTCAAAAACTAAAATAACATACTAAAATAACAACTTCCCAAACACCAAATAAATTTTTTTGGATGAATATTTACACATAAAATTTAAACAAAAAAAATTGACAAGAAAGTGTAACAATATTATTATTATAAATAAATTTATTTTTAATACTATTTTATTTTAACATGAAAAGTTTATAATTAATTACATCATGAAAATTATATATATATTTTTAATTGCATAGCATGACTCTTTCAATAAAATAAATGACCATCATGTTTTTTGGAAAATGTAACTCAAATTGATGGCATTGTTTAATAGGAAAAGAAAATTGCAGATCAGTGAAATAATAAAAAATATATATAATTATATTATAAATGATTTTTTTTTTTTTTTTTTTTTTGCATGTTTGCATCATGCATAGAAAGAACTTGCACTGTGAACACAAAAAAAATTGCATCATTATAAAAATGTAAATATTTTTTCATTGTACCATAGATTTACAATTTCCCCTTTTTTAAAAATATATACTTTTAAAAGTTCTCTTAACTTGAATTTTAAAAAACACATTTTTATCAAAACTACTAAAAATTATTCAACAGGTTATTTTATTTTTATTTTTTTTTATATAACATCACTCTTTTTTTTAATAAAATCATTATCTAAAATTTTGAAATAATTAGTTATTATTTCAGTGGTTGAAATCCAGCTTTTTCTAAATATGAGTGCGCTATGAAAATCAATCACTTGTGGAAAAAATAACATAAGGAATTATTAAAAGGGGGATGCACCAATAAATCCCAAATTAATAACTTATGCACTGTTTAGTCCTAAAAGTTTTCTTATAGACTGAAAGGTCCCATTACAATGTTAATAATATCAGATATAATGTTAATAACATCAGAGTCATGTTACAAACATTGGATTTCAAACATCTAATATTCATCAAATTTCAATAATGTTTGAAAATATAGGATGAAAAACATCTAATGTTCATCAGATTTCAATAAATTTTGAAATTATAGAATGAAACATCAGATCATTTACATCATTCACATCATGTTGATGTAAAAATGGGACTAAATGGAGCATAAGAAAACTTTTAGGACTAAATGGTTCAACGTTTCAAAAACTAGGACTTATGGGTAAATTTTCCTTATTAAAATTTAAAAATATTTAAAATCAAAATCTGAAATAATTACATAAAGGTGTTCATTTTAAATAGAACAGCAAGCATTTTAGGTGTTTTCACATGGCAACAGTAAATACTAGCTATTAAAATTCGCAAATATTTCATATGAATTATCTACAGATTTTTATCAATTAATCGGTTAAAATTTATTAATGGACTAATGGCCTAATCTCAGACCCCACTCCAAAATGAATTTCAATTAATGGAGTTATGGTTATTCAAAGCAATAAAAAGATTTAATAGTACTAAATACTTTTTTTTTCTTTTCTTCTTGAGAATCAAAATAGTACTAAATACTTAATGGAATTGAATTATTATTGAATTTATTTTTAATAATGTTGAAGATTCTTGTTTCAGGTTTCATTTGGTATGAGTTATTTTGACTAAATTATCCAATGAAGACAAAACACGATAATTTAGTTGATAAGATAAAATGTGACATTTAAATAATAATCATTTTACTTTTTCTCTCACAACGATTAAATCAATTACAAAATAAATAAATAAGTGAACTAATGAAATTTTAGATTACATACAAGTCATATCAGAGCTTAGATTGTGACAATGGATTGATTATGTTTAAATACTAAGGAGTGTTTTGGGAAGATGATTAAAACTTAATTTTTTGATTTTTTTTTTGTTTTTACTTTTTTTGAAAAAATATGTAAAAAATGTTAGAGATGGTGTGACTCAACATGGGTTAAAAGCTGGGAAGTGACTTTTAATCAATTTCCCCCAAAAAAGCTAATCTCAAACTTAGTTCAAAGAATTATGTTTTAAAAGTGAGAACCTTAACTTCCAATATATATTTATATAAAAAAAATACTAAATGTAAATGATTTGTTATTTCAATTTTTTTTTTATTATCACTAAACACAAATACTTGAATTTTATGTGAATTTATTAATGTAAACTCTACTATTTTATGTGAATTTATAATAATATTTATCTATTTATATGGATTTATCTGTTGGAATGAAGGTTGGTCATGAGCAATGAGTACTGCTCAAAATAAAAATAAAGGTAAATTACAGACATCTGAGGTTTTTATTTAATATAAATTATTTTTTTATATTTAAAAAATTACATTCACTTTCTGTCAGATTAAAATAACATATTTGTCTCTTAACCGTTTTACATATAAAATAATAAAATAATACAGATATTTTATTCATGTCATTTTAAGAGAAATAACAATCATCTTCTTTGATTTAACTTACACAAAAAATGAATTATTTTATTTTTCATATATTTTTATTTTTAATAATTTTTTTAATATTTTAAGTAATTTTTATTATTATTTTGTAGATACACCTAATCTAGATATACTTAAGAAGTATAATATTTAGTATTTTTTTTTAAATTCACCAAATACAAAAATATAAAAATTTAATACAATATCTTATTTTGTTGTATTCAATGATTTTTTTAAAAAAAAAAATCTGTACAATTTTTTTACTTTTTAAATACATGTAAATTAAATTGATCTAATCTAGACGTAATGGTGAAAATAAAAATGAAAATTATATTCATATATAAAAATTTATACAAAAAATATCATAAAAATGTTGTGATAAAAATTTTATTGTAAATATAAATCATGTTTATAGATGTTTTATTTTAAAGTGAAATATTGTCATTAAGTTATATTATTATGTTTGAAAATTTTATATAAAATTTATGTTTGTATATCAGCACTCAATAAGGATATGTTCAGATAAAATTTAATGATAGAAAATTGTACATGATGATAGGAAGAAGAAATGTTAGAAAAAATAACAAGATGGTCATTTAAAAATTTTTAGGGCATGATATCTGCAATCTAAAAGACAATTTGCAATGAAATTAGAAACCTCGGGGAGGAAAATGTAATTTTTCACATATGAGGAAGAAATATATATTAAATAAAAACCTCAAAAGTGTCAATGTAATTTACCCTTTAAAAAAAAATAACAATAGGAGGAGCCCTATCACATGACAACATATAGGATTATTTTGAAAAGATGGTTAAAAGTTAATTTTTTAATTTTTTAAAATTCTTTAAAGAAAAACTTATAAAAAAATAAAAAAATAACTTAATTCAAAATAAATTAAAAATTAAAAATAAATTTTAACCATCTAACTAAAGTAGCTCATGAAGTAGTGGTTCACTCATAAAAATGTCATACAACTCTGACAACTCTCACATTTTTATATGGGACATTTACATATAAGTCTCATTTTGTGAACTTATGATCCATTAAGTCTTAGATAAAATTATTTGTTCCATCAGGTCCCATTAATTTTTAATAAACTAATTTACCCTTCCAACAAACTTCAGGCAAACTGTCTCTGATCCCCATGGCCTTGCTCGAGATCCCGATGTCCGGATGAACCTGCTTCAACACCTTGAAGATGTAGATCTTGTAGGTCTCAACGCTCCTTCTTCGTCCTCTTCTTCTTCTTCTTCTTCTTCTTCTTCTTGTCTCCGGTAGCTGTTTCGTCCTCCTTGGGCAGCTTCTTCCCCGCCTTCAGCTTCTTCTCCGCCGAAGCTTTCTCGGCGACAGTGCTCTTCTTCTCCTCCGCTGGCTTCTTCTCAGCGGGCTTCTTCTCTCCCTTATTGACCCATCAACCTTCTTCTTCGATTTACCGATCGCATTATCACTGGGCTTCGACCTGATCTGCTTTCCATCAAACTATCTCGATCTGACGTCTGGCGATTCCGAACTCGACCTAGAGGGTTCGCTGGCTTCTCGGGGGTCTTGGAGCTCCATGGAATCAGATCCGAGTGAGCTTTGGTCATTTGATCGGACGATAATGGCTTCGATGATGATGAACTGACCATCTTCTTCGACTTGAACGAATTGAAAGGGTCTGAGTCTGAGGATTCCATTGTTGATGTTGGCAGTAGTAATGGATGGGGCTTTATAGAGAGAGAGACAGAGACAGAGAGAGAGAAGAGTGAGATAATGTATATGTTTGGAGGACGGTGGTTTTCACTGAGTTCACAGATGCCACGCCACTGCCATTAGAGAGAGAGATTGAAGATCTTCTCAGTTTATAATATTCTCAATTTTAATTATGAAACAAATTGAGAAATTTCTCAAAATTGATAATTATAAATTTTTTAGTTTTGATAATATTCTTAGTTCATACTAGAAAAAAATTGATTTTTTTTTTAGTTTTGATAATTATAAATTAAGAACATTCTCAGTTTTAAAATTGAGAACATTCTCAGTTTGGGGATTAAAGGGCAAAACGTCTATTTACCTTTAAATGGGACTTATTGGTTCAAATTTTTTTTAATAGAATCTAAACTACCACCAAATATGTAGATAGGACTTTTAAGTAATTAATCCTTTTTTATATTTATATATAACAAATGTGTTAGAAGTGGAAGAAAATTTCACAGATTCATTATAGAGGGAAAACAAAGACGTGCGGCCACATATGAACCCAAACACGTGGATCTCACTTATTTATCTTTCATATGTGTTTAATTTTGAGAATTTTTTTTTATGTTTTCAAATATTTTATTTGTATAACTAGTGAAATATGAGGTGTTTGATAAGACTATTTTTTAATTTTTTAAAAATTTATAAAAAGATAAAATAAGTGAAAATAATTAATAAAATAAAATATCATATCAAATTTATAATCGTTTTAGTTTTTTCTCATAAATATTACATCCAACTATAAAAAAATCTTACTATTTTTCCAAATATAAAAATTTTAGCCTACAAAAATAGTCAAAAACTAAAATAGCAACTTTCCAAACACTCACTAAAGTCTCATTTGACAAGTGGTGATTTTAGTCAAAAAGTTAAAAGTCACTAAAAAAGCAAAAAGTCAATAATCTATACAAAAAGTCAAATATTCTCTTTTCTCTCTACTTTTTGCACATCTTTTCGTAAAAAATCAAAAATTCATCTCAAACATATTAGTGTTTTTTTACATTATATTTTAATCAAAATTTAAAAAGTTACTAAAAAAAACATATTTCTAAACGAGGCCTAAGTACACATATGCCGCTACGAGCTTGCTTGGGAAAAAGATTTGGGCTAAAATAGCCATATAATACAAAATAGACTATTTTAGCCAAATAAGATAAAATGTCACATTTAATTTATAACCATTTCATTTTTTCTCTCACAAAAGTCAAAAAAATCAAAAAAATGTATCACAAACGAAGCTTTTTAATTCCAGACTAAGATAATCAAAATTTTAAAAAGTCAATTCACATCTTAAATGAACTCTAAAGAAAGAATAATTACAAGGTTTTTTTTCTTTTTTCTTTTTCAATCATCAGAATAATTACAAGTTCGCTATTATTGTGAGCATGGTCCATTTAAAAATTAGGATAAATTATAAACACATCCTTTGAGATTTATTTAGATTACAAATTATTCTATGTGATTTTAGAAATTACATTATGACCCTAAGGTTTCTAATTTTATAATAAATGGATCCTTTTATTAATAAATCATCAAATTAATTAACAGTTTTTAATAATGTTAAAATTTTATTTCAATTAATAATTCAGATAATTTTATTATTATATAGGTGAGTAGTTAGAAATTTCACTTTTTCAATTAATTATGTTAAATAAAAAATTTTGACAGGGATGTATTTGTAGTTTTTCAAACCACAAGAGACAATTCATATTTTAAACAAACCTGAGGGGTGTATTTGTAATTTATCCTAAAAATTAATAAATCAAGTCATGGGATATTTTGGAATAACCACATGGTGGTTGGCTTAGTAGGTAATGATTGGGGTCAGCAAATGCATACCTTAGAGCCATAGACTGCAGGACATAAGTCTTGTTTTGAAAGATTTGTTCGAATTGTAGGGACTTAATCTGATGTAAGTAAACTAATCCAGATACCTTATATAACAAAAAAATAAAAAAATAAAGGGATATTTTGGAGAACAAATTACTTTTTGTTGAATTATGAATAGTATATTATTGGGGTGAGTGAATTTGCAACACTCAAGGTTGGATAGTACACGCATGACACTGATGATAATTTTTAAAAGGAAAGAATAATTACAAGGTTTTTTTTTCTTCATCAGAATAATTACATGTTGGCTATTAAGATTGTGAGCATGGTCCATTTAAAAATTAATAAATTAAGTCATGGGATATTTTGGAGATCAAAAGTGGTATCACTTTTTGTTGAATTATGAATATATTATTGGAGTGAGTGAGTTTGCAATACTCAAGGTTGGACTAATTTTGGTATCCAATGATGATGGTAACTCACTTTCTATCAAAAATAAATAAATAAATAAATAAATAAATAATGTAATCAAGAATAAATAATAAAAATAACAACAATGCTAGAAGGCCACAATTTTTGTGGTCACAATGACTCAAAACTGCCAAAATTAGTCCAACCTTTTACAAAAGGCAAACAAAGAATATGCAATGGATTTAGCCACTTCATGCATAGTTTAATCGGTTCTCATAATTTTATAAAGGTCAAGTTTAATTTGCAAATATAATATAGTGGGATAAGTTATTCTAAAATAATTTATCCCATAAAATGTGTTTTATTTATTTTATGCTGAAAGTTTTATCTAACATGGGGGTGCTAGAGGAGTTGGGAGTCCAATTTTCATTCAAGTCAATATGGTTATAGGTAATGTTAGAACAATCTTCTGTGTAAAATAAATAATAAAACTGAAACAAATAAAATACTTTACTTACAGAACGTTTTTTGTTTTAGAAAAATCAGTAAGACTGATCAAGTTGAGTTTGTGACACTTTGTCCTTGAGATAGATTCGCCGCCTCACAAATGCTTACGGAGTATCGACGTCTATCTCTTAGGATACAATAATCACTTACACAGATTGTAGCAGTACTACAAACAATCTGTCAGGCGAACCAAATCTGTGTTCTGTAACTCTCTTGAAAACTCTATGAACTAATATGAAGAACAATGTAGTACAAGAAGGAAAACAGAAAGGAAATTTGGAATGATTTGAATCTGCTGGAGGGACCCTGTATTTATAGGCCATGAGATGTCTGTTCGGAAGGGTAGACAATCCGTCGAACAGGTGTGACCGAAATGTAAAGAGAGGTGACCAGAGATGAGGCATTTATTCTGGGAAGCAAAAATTCGAATTCGAATTTTGGTGCAATCGTTTGAATTGACCTATTAGGATTTCAAATTTTTCCCGCAAGAATTTGAAAAAATTCAAATGAATTTTGTAAAAAAAATTAAATTAGGACTTGACCCACAACCTGCGTCGGGCAGTGTGCCACGCGCATGTGTGGTAGATTTAGGTCAAGCCCACTTTGTCCATAACTGCTCTTCTTATAAAACTTGGGGCCCAACCCAAGTACGTCAACCTAAAGCTTATATCTCATATTAGTTTTCTTAAAGTTTCTATGTGGGACACCCAAAACAAGGTATCCCACATTTGACTTTTCAACTTCCTATTTTCACGAATCTGAAAACGACGTCAACTTCTCATTCACTCATAAATAGTTTTGACAATTCGTTTTCGTCGTGCGACAAGGAACATGTCACCGCTTGAACCCACCTCAAAAGACGTGTGGACCTCAATTAAATTTGAGCTTACAAATGGCCCAAAATAAGTCTATAAAATCAAAAATTCCAACAGGTAACATATATAACACCAAGTGACATGTCTTTGCAATAAATAGAGAAATTGTTCAAAACACCTACATAAGTAAGGTCCTCGTGTTTTGTACTACTAAACTTTTAAGAGTTCCCCCAAAAAATTGAAGGATGTTTTATCCTATTAAGCTAAATCAGCATGCAACCTACATAATCTTGAGTTCAGTAATAACATGGAGTTATTGTAAATCGAATATCAGAATTCGAATCTCATTGACTAAAAAAAAAGAAAAATTGCACATTTTGGCAAATTGCAATGCTCCACCATTTGTAAAGTACAAGCCTCTTTTATTACTAAATAAAATTACTTATAATAGATAACTTTTTTTCAAAAGTCGAATTTGTGAGATTTGAATTATGTATTTTTTTATTTTTTTTATTTTTTTAGAGGATGCTGAAAAAAAATTCATTACTCAATCTTAGGTTGACGAGTTGATTGACAAATTTTTTTGGGGATACTTTTTCATTACACTACTAATTTTTGCTCGAGTTTTGACTTATCATTGTAACAACCCTGACCCATGATTAATTGTTACACAATGATTAAGCATACTTAATAAGTAATTAAAATGAAATCCTGAGTTAATTGCATGTGCATTGTATTATTTGTGTTTATATCTGTTTGCTATAGAAATATATGTTTGTATTTCTGTTTTGTTCTGTGAATTGAAGGCCTCATCGGCATCCGCACGAAATTGACTTGAATTATGTGTTAGTTGGAATTTCTAGAACATTATGGTAGGTTTAATTGAAATTCAATTCGGAACAAAACAATTAGAATAATTAATGAATTCTTTAATCCAAGCCTAAATAAGGCACTAGTGGACCCTTGTATACATTTTACACTCTCATTTCATCCTTCTGAGCTAGAAACGTGGGAGAGAGAGAGAGACCAAGAGTGAGAGTGAGTTCAACAAGGGAGAATGTGTGAATTGTTAGGAATTGTTGGAGAATTGAAGAGAGCTTAGAAATTTAAGCCTCTACACTTATGAATCCAAGGTATAAGGTAAGAATTTAAGCCTTTGGTCTTACTTTAGAGTTGGTGAGTTCATGAATACAAGAGAATTAAGTTGAAATTGAGCTAGAATGAAGGAGTGTAGATCATACCATGCATGCATGTCTAATTTCATCACAATTTGAGTTTAATTTCAAGAAGTCTCTCATGCATGTATCTATCTTACCTTTGTTTTGAGAATTCATCAAGTTTCATGCCATTTTATCTTGCTTGATCACGTTTTGGAG